ACTTCATGTTGAATGAGTTCGACTGGTCAGTTTCAGTAGATAGAGAAGCAATTATTTCCTCTTCCTATAATGCGAGCCTTGCCTCGATATAACTTTACAATAAAGAAAAACTTTAATCAAAGGCTTGTAATATTGAACAATCGTAAATGTAATTCATCATTCGTCCAAAGTTTTATCTAGACGAATTTTGCCTGTACTTTGGTACCAGCCTGCGTCTGTTTACTCTAAGCCACGGTCTCCTCTATGTCTACATTGCATTGTTTGCAATTTTCCCGAGCGATTCATGTCTCCGCGTTTACGTGACCGCGTGCGTTTACCTAGGCACGCGCAACACCGCGCGTAATCGTCGCCGCTGGATTACGCAATTCAGCTCGCGGAATAATATCCTTCAATTCAGCGACGACGTTGCTCGTTATCTACTTGACTCGGTCGTCGAACCCTCCTGTCTCTTTCAATCGACGCGTCTCGCGGTTTTTGCTCGACTGCGTCGTATTTTGGCTCAACGAATTAATTTCCTGCTTCGAGATATTCCCGTGTCACGTGGGAACTTATCGACCAACGCGGCGCCGTTCACGAATGGAAGAAGTGACTTTACACGGATAAGGTCGTTGGTTGTTGATTAAATTTTCTTATGCGTGAAATATATTGGCACGTCGACGAAAATGTATCATCAATTTGACAAAGGTGATTTTGAAAAGTCGACAAATGTGACCGAGGAAACGATGTTTGTTTACAAAGGATATTTGACTGTTCGATATGAACATTCTCTTGGTTAGAGTTCTTTCTGTAGCTTCAAACGAAGCAGAGAGATATGGAAGGCGTTCTGTTAAAAGAAACACCCTAAATGTATTCGTGTATATACTTGCACAATAATAATAATGATATTAATAAATGAGGATTTTCACGTTCTCTGTTATATTCTAGCAAGAGTTTTCACGATAAAAAAGAGTCCAAATACGATCTCGTTTGGACTACTCCGAAATATATGATTTTCGAAATATTTCTGAAAAGCTTCCAATTTTGAACGACTAAAAGTTATCCGAACAAGGTTATGTTTAGTCTCGTTTTCCTCCAGAGTGAGACTCGTGGTAAGGAATTTGGGCCATAAACAATAACCACGAATCTGACACGTCGTACCTCGTTTGGACTTCCTACCTTCATGTTTACTATGACCAGAGCAATCAGAAAAGAGCGTATAGATCAAGGAGTTAATACTTTCATGAATATACATTGAGAAATATAAAATTATTAAAAATTTTTGATCACTTTCTAAATGAATCGCCGTTTGTGCTTTCATAAGTGAACTGGAAGCATTCAATTTCTCCCTCGAAAACAGTAAATAGTCTGTTATAATCCACCCATGAGAATTCCATGTTTCTAGAACGTTCTAAACGTAATTACAAATATGTTCTTGGAATCGCTTGTCAAGTTACGTGACGGTGATCTCGTCGGTTCCCTGAAATTAGTTGCGATCGAACGAGCTCGATGATTTTGTTTTCGAGGTAATCGAGTAACAACGATTCTCGGAAATCTCGCTCGGGAGGAAAAACTTGTGCACGTTCGCCAGTCCTTGTTTCATTAGGGTAATGCGTTCGATCGGTGAACTCGATCCGAAACGACGGAAAAAGAGGGTGACGACGACACGAAAACGATGGAAACGATCAGCAAAAGGAGATTACCGCTTATGGGATTGCGACGCGATCAATTTGGAGCACAATGTCGTGGCATGAAAATTGGTTACATAACAGGTGATGAACGCGAATAGTGTTCGTTGGGGTAGATTTCTTGAAGTACAAATTTTAAGTAAAACGAAGATGGAAAGATGGATGGATTAAAAGATGGACCACCTGTACGTTCAGACATCGATTAATATAAAACAAGTCAACTTTTGGAATATCTATCGATACAACAACACCAATGGACCCACTGACGTTATATCGAGGGGTTACTGCAATTACTAATAAAGTACATGTGATTATTGCTAATCTTAGAGCAACGAGAACAAATGTTTTACTTCGATATTGATATTCTTAAAATTTTTTAAAAACTGTAAGGGTCTCTCAGCCACAGGGGCTACAACGAAATGGAACTAAATTTTTCGGAGTTTTACATTCAGACTATAAAGCACCTTTCTGTTTAAATAGAAGAAACAGGGCGGAAGTGCGTGGCAAAAAAACAAAGTTACCTAACAATGGATATTGCATTGCCAACCAAATTAAAGTCTTCACCTCACGGTCATAAATATTTAATATCGCTGTAGAGACTAGAAACTGACTCGATCAAATACTATTATAGATTGGGTAAAGTATCCCAAGTATGTCCCAATTGCGATATTGTAAATTTCACGAAATGAACAAATATTATTCAACCGAAGCACTTATTATCCGCAAAGGCTTGCGCTGCTATTACTCGTTGTCGGTGTAAAGTGTGCATCGAAGGATATGAAATACAATTGTCTATTTATAGACTGTTTTATAATGTACTACCTCTTTCTAATCTACGAATATCTACTTCTATAGTGAGTCACAGGCAGGTTTATTTTGAGAATTTTCAGACAAGCAAGCGAGGCCATGGCTAAAATAATGAAAAATAAGATAGAAGGAGGAATAAAACAGAGACTTTTAAATATACTTTTGCAGTATAAATACTAAAAAGTAGAAAAGAAGAAGAGAAGTATTCTATCGATGCTTGTGAGTTTGATTAATATATTAGATATATTTATAAATAGTTCTGAGACCATTTGTTATTTACAATATTTAATACGTTAAACCAGAAGTCTAAGCGAATATTATTCTCGATAATAATGACTGTTCCGACTATTTGTGTATCAATAACAATTTCAAATAACCATTGTCCCAATTTTGTGTTTTCTCTCTCACGAATCGCCGACGAAGCGAAAGAGCGCACGTAATTTCACGTTCGATTATCCTAATGATTTGTTTCCGCGTGGCTCCACCTACGAGCCCGATCCAGCGTGCTCGTCGACCGTTTCTTGAATAATCGGCCAATTATCGCGAGACACCGTGGAAATCGCGCGTTACGCAACATCGTTAAAAATCAGTCAACGATAGCGCACAAGATAATGCTGCCATCGCTGGATCATAACGAACGAATATACAAGAATATACACACGGTGTCCCTAATTTAACTGTCAAAACTTTGGGAGCATGTAGGGCACTGATAAACTAAGAAAAAGAGTCCTTTAGAGATTTGCTCGTTTTTGCTCCGTTTTGGAGAAAATCAAGAAACAAAAAAGTTCTCGTCTTTCCTCTGATTTATTTACACTCAATTATTTTCTTACCACTTATTTAACGCGGACACTGTTCAAAATAACCTCTTTCTGCAATGCATGCATTACATCTAAACTAGTTACCGTTGAAATCGCAGCTTGAAATTGCTCTCGAGATATTTGCTGTACTGCAGCCACCATTCGGTTTCTCAGTTATTCTCACGAGCTGACTGGTATCAACTAAATTTTCTACTTCAAAACTCCAGACAAATTTAAACAGTTGATTTTAGTGTAATTTTTTTTTTTTTTTATTTTTTTAATAAAATCTCAAACCCAATGAAGCTCCAGAAGCCAACCTTTTTTTTTCTTCATTTTTTTAATGTTACGATAAGGTATCACTGTGAAATGTATTCGTAAATATACTACTCTCTTTCGGGGCTAATCGATTATTCGTAACTGTATGAACATAAGTCACTGCGTATATCGTAATATCTAAATGCAATCACACGTATCCAATCCCGGATAACGTGAGCTACACGAAGAAAATTCTTTTTACCAAAGGAAAAAAAATTCATGAATGAAGAGGTCGAAGATTTCTTCCCTTAGATCCCCTATAAGCCGGCATGAAGCCTGTTTCTAACGCGCGAGTGTAATCCGAGCAGCAAATTCATAGACATGTGCGCGCAGGTTGCGAGACACTGGATAACTTCTGAAACTGTTTGCGCGCATTAACAGCTTTCGAAGCTCTTTTGTCTCTGAACGGTGGAACAGAATCCCCAAAATAATGTACACCAATTTTCATGCAAATCAACAAGTTTTTAGCATACACGTTAGCTATACTAGGTTCGTCATTTTGAATTTTATAAATTTTATCAGACTCGTAATCTGCGAGGTGAAAAACCTTAATACTTGAACTTTCACAGAAATCTAATAACATTTTAAAACACTGGGTATATTGGATCCGCCATTTTGGATTTGCTAGGATTAATAAGAGATTTGTCATCAACGCCACTGAAAACCTTTATACATAAATTTTCATGCAAATTTAGTAATTTCTCAACATACAAGTCGAATATATTGGATTCGTCTATTTTTTAGAATAATTTTCGCCAGTTATTTGGGATTCTGTTCTAAACTATACTCTATCTCCAAATCTTGTTATTGGTTTCGCGTACATGTTTTTCGAGACCATTACATAACCTCTCTCCTTACGAGATCTTAATCCACCCACGACTACGGATGTCTCATTCACGATTCGAAGCACGTATCTCTTTAGACTCTGCTTGGAATATCTAAATCAACGCGATATCTTCTATCTCCGTGTTTAACGTCTAGCTATTTCTTTACTTCCAAACATTTTTCTATTTTTTTCCCCTATTCTCATTAGTTACTCATAATTTTACCTCGTCAGTTTACTTTCCGAATAATTTTTACTCTTGACACTGTACTAATTTCTAACTGAAGACCTCGAGCCCCGTCACGACACTTTTATTAGCATATTATTACTCTCGCATACTAATTAGGAAGTATTACTTCACCCAAACAGTCCTGCTTACTCCTCATAAACAATCGTAACTACTATATAATAATGAAAACGATACTTCGCTTGCATAAAAAGTGTTAGAATCGAAAAGCCATCTTGGTCGACATCGCAGACCGAAATTCATCGAATTTGTTCGCCGAGACAAAGATTATTCTTAGATTTCACTTACCCACAACGATACCCTTGATCAATTCGACTAGATGAATGGGGATTCGTGGTAGCACTCACCTTTTCATCGAGATTGTTCAGATCCGGCAACTGAAACAGAAACGTTTTCGAATTAGATTAAATTGTGGCATTCGTGCTGATTTTGTATATACAACATGGTAATGGCGGTCATGGAAAACGACTAACGACGCGACGATTTATGTTTTAAAGTATGCCATAAGATCAGAACGTTTTGAACGAAAGACAAGCGAAAACAATTACCTTGCAAGTTAACAAATCTATTGTAGGATACTGCTTGACATTGCCAAATTATTTATTAACGTCATCGAAAACTGGAAGCATCAGGAGCAAAGCATGTCTCTAACAAAACCTTGTGTAACTAATTAATGGTTGGCGCCAATTCTCGCGTGGTGCGCTGACGCGCCATCCTGCTACGAACGTCGGAAGTAACGCTACGATAAGAAGCTTTCAGCTTCGCAGGTAAAATAGAATCTACTTTATCAACGGCTGAGCTATGGCAGTCAACAGATGCCGCCCACGGTATATGAATTTTTGCCTGCCTGCAAATTGAAGAAATTGAAACCAATTTGTAGCAATCAGTGGTTGAATATATTCCGCTCTAGGGACCGTGCATAGCGCGCTGGTATTAGTTTAACACTAGATGCGTCGACCCGTTTAATTAACCTTCATCATCGTCGCATCTACACCGAAGTGTGCGAAACAACGTGAAAGGGAAAAAATAAAAAGATAGGAAGATTCCTTACGCGCGGAATTAAATAAGTTAATAAGTACGACAAAGATTCTATTATTAAAAATGATCTAAAGAAATATAATCTCGTCGAAACAAACACCATTCACTTTGAAATTCATGAATCCTCCAACCCACCCTCTCCCACTCCCAGGGGTGGTTCCACCATGAAACTAATGAAGCTATTAAGGTCCCAAGAACTCAGCATTTGCTGATATTTTAACTTAACTATTATTCTACAAAATTTCTTATATTCTCTGTTCAATTTTCCAAGTTTGAGGATATTTCATACATTTTATTTATTGTTATATTTTGTAAGGAAGAGGATTTGTTAAGTTTGGATTCACCACTGTCCACTCATCTTCATCGCGAGGAAGCGTTTTAATAACCTGATTTGTTGCACAATTACTAAACAAATTGGCGTAATTTGACTGAAACATGAATAACCCAGGATGAAACCTACTGGAAGTCTATTTGAATATCAGGATACATCGCGGAGACATTGATCACTGGCTATCGTATACTTTTACGCACGTTCAGGTTTCTGGTTCACCTCGATCTAGATTATTCGCTGAACGCGTGATTCACTTCGATATGGAAATAACTGCCGCTAAATAATAATTTAACAACCTTGTCCGTGCTGAAACGCGAGAACTTCGCCGCAGCAGAGGGCAGGTTACGTAAACGGAACGAGATCGTCTCCGATGACTTCGTCCAGAGCAGAGATGGGGAACATTTTCATCCGAATAAACATTTTGAATAACAAATAAGTGGTAAACATCTCTGGAAGTATCGTTTCTACGATAAAAATTACAATCTTAATTATACGATACGTTCAAATTACATGTTACATGTGTGAATGCGAGCTTATTTAAATTGAAACTGTTCAATCAAATAAATAACTGCTGAGTTTTAAATTGTCATCTACTACTCGAATTAAATTCGGTTATTTACGAATCAGAGGGGAAATGACATTCTGCAGAATGTAGGAAAAGCAACAATTTATGGAAAAGCAGCGTGCATGTTATCTTTTATGGAACGTTTTTTTTTTGTTTTTTTTTTTTTTTTTTTAATGTATTTATTCACCTTTATTGGAAAATAATTATTTTTGGTGTGCGGAATGTTTATCGATAACATTGTTTTGGCAAAAATGAATTATTGGATTTTCCGGAGAGTTATTAAAATTTATTCGGCAATGGACTAAAATAATACGAATCTCAGCGTTTCATTTGATGCATAGAATATTCGAGTAATGCTTATAAAATTAATGAATTCCTTTATCGTTGCACCGGGTACATTACCCAAAGCGTGAGTTTTGCAATGTTTCTACTAGGAAATTAATCAACCTTTGCCTTTGCGTGATCAAACTTAGAACGAATAAAAAATAAATAGTGCGATGTACACAGTAGCCTGGCGAGCTGCTAACACCAGAAATAAGACACTATGACTTTTTGACCTCACGACAAAAAATAATCCAGGTGTCATATGCGGAAACGTAGGTGACCTAGAAATGTCCGACGCCTCCGTACACCGATCTTCATCCGAGGCATGCTATTACTCTAATCTTACTTTATTACACTTCGCACAGTTCTTTCAAATCATATGCTTCATAAACTGAATTATCCACGTCATCAAGAGATATCTTCTCTTCGAGTATAGTCACGTTTCCACATATGCAACACAGTTTATTTTCTTGTGGAAGCCTATATGGACATTCCCACGTATGCTATTAGGAAAAATGTTTCTGCTAGTCTAAAATCACTTTCCCATGCATACAGTCAGTGTAATAAATAGACTGCGGAACTTTATGCGAAATAAAATCTTTGTATACGTACCCACAAAAATTAAACACAAATAGAAATTTATTTTACTCTGCAAATATTATAATATTAACTTTACTTTCAATGTTTATTATATTCTTGCATATTGTGTGCATTTTGTAATTTCTTGAACATCCAAATTTCCTATAAATACAGAAATATCCGCAGTCTAGTAATAAGTATTCGTACAAGAATCAATTTTCAAAATAAAACTTCATATATTTACTTTATTCATAAATGTTAGGGGAGAAATAATTAACCAACATTCCTACATATTTTTAGAGTAGATATTGCGTAAATTAATGTTTATTACTTTTATTGTTTACCTCTTATTTCTTTCCTTATTAGTTTTATTTTAAATTGGTCGCTGTACGAATACTTCTTACACTAACTGTATATAGAAATTGGAGTTTGTATCTCTTTGAACCTTTGAAACCACAATATCATAAATTGTAACTTAAAGAATGTTCCATTCCAACTAATAAATCGTAAATTATTTGTGTCCCTCTAATTTTTCACTTACATCGCAGTTGCATCCAACAGACGATAGAAATTACTTTCAACAGATGTCATCGCACACGCAGGAACGTGGCTCAACGTTTGATAGTGCCTATCGACCATAGTCACGGTTATTATTCCGATCTTTCAAAACGCCCGTCACCCTGTCGCTGTTTACCGGAAACGGTCGTGAATTCATTCCAGTGTAATCGTGAATAAATCAGGAAAGTGCGAGACCACAGGAAGATGCATATTTATGCGTTCGTGGTAACTGGGAAATTAAATTCTCGCGTTTCGTCAGGATTTACAGAAGGGATGGAAAGGGTTGCGCGCATATTTCACGATCAAACGTCAAAATGCAAGCAGTTGGAAGAAATTTACGTCGACGGATATATTTTGCTCATCCGATTCGTTCTTCGGTGTCCTTTGCCGCATCGCGGATATATCGACTGGAATTCTGGCAGGAAACAACCACGACGAACGGGGGCTTGTTTGCCTTGAAATCGGGACACAAAGCGTCACCGTTATCGTTTCAAACGTTTCGAAGCCATTATCCGCGTTATTTAACGCTATGAAAAACCTGGATGTAGAACGGGCCACGTAAATTTCTGCACGGAATTTTGGCAAATCGAGAGATCGATAGATGGAGGCTTTCCAACTAAATTGGTTCCATTGTCCCGTCGGACTACGCGAGCAGGCTTTCATTTTCAAAGTTTTCCAACATTGTATTTTCGGTTCTTTCACTGGAATAATAGCATAATATAACGTATGGTAGTGTGAAGCATGCATATGCAGGGCGTTTTGAATGGTTAAATATCTCACGAGGCGATGAAGCTATAAAAAATGTTTTTACAAAAATTATTTGAAAGATATAGTGTAGATAATTTTGTTGTAAGTGAGAATATAAGAAGAATGGAATGGTAAACAATCTGGATGGAAATTTCACACGCAAGAACCACCGATTCGTGACTTGTTAGAGGTTTTATTAGAAACATAAACAAATAGTATTTCAAATCGACTAATCAGGACAATCTCGTGCATCATCTCAAACGTCCATGTCTCTTTGCATACTATGAATATACCTCTGACACACACACGCAGTCAATTATCAATGTATATTTAGAATTCTCTCTCTCTCTCTCTTTCTACCTATCTTTCGCAATAAAATTCCACGCATGCGCGCACACATATGATTTATCAATGACACTTTGTATCCTATATGTTGTATCGACGGTCCGCGTAAATTTATCGAACATCCTCGAACGTAACAATCTGTATCGTTAATCAAAATACGATTCGCGAATAACAGAGAAAATCTTTTCGTGCGCGAATTCCTGTTATGACGATCAAGATTGTGGCGCAGCGTTCCAATATCTCTCAATAAATAAAAAACATAAGCAACTGGCCAATCGACTAAACGTCGCAAACAAAATTTAATGTATCTATGCATCATTCGTTACCAATTATTCGGAATAAGATTTCGCAAATCTCTGATCGCAGAGAAAATTCTTTGGAGCGGAATTCGGGTTTGATTAAAATACACGCGATACATCCTCCCTTTTCTATCAAAGGAAGCAACCAACTATAGCGCAATCGGAAGTGTTCGAGATCGAAGCTTGGCCCGATTTCGCGATTTGGTGCGCCTTAACCGTGAAAACTTTTCCATTTGGCGAGGAGCTTTTATCCTCTGGCTTTCCGGACCGTGCTAGGGAAAATACTTAATTGATCGAGAGAATCGAACGCTAGCAATTGAACGGGAGTCGCTCGACCGAACGATCATCGATGGAAACCGTTCGAACGAAGCGACGTATATCGTCGATTACATTTCTTCTGGCTGAACAGATCACAAGGCCCGTTGTTAAACGGACAATCGATAAAGAAAAATATATATACGTCTGCACTGAGTGTCTCGAAATACGTGGAACGAGACTAGGAAACAGTAATTTATCGAATAGGGAGGTTTGCTACTTTTTACGTTGCTGAATGCAGAGACTTTTTCATAGAAATGAAATGTGAAATTTATT